CCACAGCAGAAGTTACCAAGTTAATCAAAAAATAATTAGTGCGTCGAATTGATCTACGGAAATAGAATATATTCTAACTCACTAGGTCAATTTTGTGTCCCAATTATGCTCTAGTCAGATATTGCTTTAGTTCAATTATACCACGCTTGAAATTTGCTTAAATTTTACGGTGAAATGTCATCTTTTTTGGGGCTAGCGTTTAGGTATTTAAAACTTGCGCGTTCGAACTTGAGGGTTATTTCGAGTTTTGGGATTTGATATCTTTTTAATTGCCAACTAGGAGAATTCTCTTTTTTTTTTTAATTGAAAAAAAAAATTTAAAATCAAGTGGAGTTAAAACGTATGACAATTGCATTAAGGTTCATTCACATTCATCACAAAAACTTTGTTCCAACTGTTCATAAGGTCACTGTGATATCATGACTCGTCCGATACGTACTGTGAATGAGGAAGGAAATTAGGTACTACTTGGCAACAACTACTTTGAAGAGTAAAAAAGGCAATTGATTTATTAAGTGTCTGTTGTGGAGCAAATTTTCTATAAAGGACTATGCCGACAAAATTTGAAATCAGAATTTACTCTATCACAAGTTCCTTGACAAAAACCCAAAGATCTTTTATTATAATGAATTTCCATTATAATGAGTTTTCATGCAATTTTTAGATATCAAAATAAGCTGTTAAAGTCGTACGTTTGGAATATCAAAAGTTTGTGAATAAGTTGTATTTTTAGATCAACTGTTAGGCATCAAATCTAACTGCACTGTTTTATTTCAGATCAGATCGGACGTTGGAGATCACAAGGTCAACGGAGCAGGTCTCCAGACAGAAAAGAAAACAATTGATGGCACTTACATAAACTTAAAACTGGTCCCTATCTCATTCGGGCAACCACAAATAAATTTTAACTTGAATAAAATTTATCAACTTGTATTTGTTATCCTTGCAGTTTCATGTTACAAATCATTGTCAGTTTAACTTGAGTTTTCAGGCAAACTTGCCAAACCTCTCATTTAGGTTTTTCTTTTCGATCTGCGTCATGTTACTTGTGTTGTATGCGATGAATCATGACACCCCCCATTTTGTCAACGCCTCGTCGCTGCCGCGTTGATTTTCTTGTCCCCTCTGCGCCTTTCTTTCGATTTCCTTCGACGGTTTTCGGCGTTCGCGTGGTAACCGTGTCCGACGGTTCAATTACTTCCTTACTCGCCGCAGTCTTTGCCGCCTCGTTCTCCTCGACTGTCCAATCGCTCATGTCATTCTCCTCACTCTCGTCCTCGCTATATTCCACGATCCTCGTTTTTGCTGCTTTTTTCGCCTTTGCCATTGCGATTTTTCCTTCTCCGCCTTTCTTTTGAACTTTGTGGGTACACTCGGACCCGGGGTGCTTTTTGCGGGCTCACTTGGACCCGGGGTGCTTTTTCCGTTTTCACTTGGGCCCGGGGTGCTTTTTCGGTACTTGCTAGGACCCGGGGTGCACGCGTCGTTCATATCCCTGATTTGGCTTTCTTCAGCCGCCGTTCTAAAAGAAACACCACTTCGTCTTAATAACGACCCTTTTTCCATTTTCACAGTATGATCAGTTAATTTTTCGATTTTCAATGGTAAACGTTTATACCTCCTTGGATCCTTTGGGTCTGTTTTTCCTGTCTTTTGGTAGACTGTTGTGGAGCTTGTCTTATGCCGTTTTAGCCATCCTGGTGGCCTTGGAACTTTATCTGCTACCTCCGTGGCCTTTGGATCCCTGTCATTTATCTCATCATCGTCCAAAATCCTTGGGGTTTTCCTTTGCTCTGGTGCGTATACTAGGTCGCTTCTCTTTTCCCAATCCAGGGTCAGCTCCACCTCAGGGAGATTACTCGCCTTGTCTAAACAAGATAGCTTCTGGTTAACAACATTGTTCCAATTTAGGTTTTTCAAGGATGGTGTTTTTGTTAAGTTTCGAAACGCCGTATTTGCTTCTCTTCCATGATATACCTCAAAGGGTGTTAATTTAGTTTTAGAATGTGGCAGAAAACGTAAAGCGCTGAGCGCTCGAGATATCATTTCCCCAAATTTGTAATTTTGATTTTCCTGGAGATAAGTGAGCACGTAATTTTTTATCGACCCAATCGTTCTTTCGACCATTCCCGTTGCGCGATGATCCTTAACTGGAGATTTGATTAGTTCAATACCTTCATAGTTACAGAAACTTTGGATGTCATTCGAGAAAAACCCCGTTGCCTGATCCATATGCAACTTCCTTGGGTGTCCATGAGTATTTATGTACTTCCTTAGGAACTTTAATACATTTTTAGATTTGTTACTTGAACATATATACGCTGATGGCCAATGCGAAAAAGTATCTACTGCTACGAGTACATATTTCTTCCTACCCCTTACATAATTGACTGGGCCCCAGAAAATTAATTGGACCAAATCATTTGGTTCTTTAGGTACATACGTTTCCCCAATATCACGTTTCGGGATATCTGGTTTGAGATTTTTACCTGCTTCTACGCAGCTTTTACAGTACTTTGCTGTTGCGGCAATATTTCGGTGCATTAAAGGGATCCACACATCCTTTGCGGCAGCGAACATCTTGTCTCGTCCATGGTGCTGAAAGTGTAGGCGGTTGAGAACTGCTGAAGACATGTCCTTAGGTATGGCCAACCGACCATCCATCCACAGACAATTTTCCCGTACTGCGAAGTCATTATAATGTTGGGCGTAATATGGTCCTAGTTTAGTGATGATTTCTCTGGCTCTTGGGTTTCTGTCCCTGATCGCGTCACGTATGGTCTTCATAATGGGGTCCTTCTCCAGATTAGCCTCGACTAACTTTAAGCTCAAAATTTCCGGATGTTCCAATTTCCTGACAATTTTACCGTCCGACGGTACTATGGAGTAAATCCATTTATCGCTCTGTACTAATGGGTAGGATAATCCTGGAAACTGATGAGGGAATGAGATTATAGTATTTGATTTCTTCGAATTTGTTTGTTTCTGATCGATAATTTCGGGCGGTTTTAACTCAACATCCGAGTCCGAACTGACAGAACTAAGACTGGGGGGTTGATTTAAACGATTGAGCACAAGATTAAGGTTAACGTCTCCAGAATGGGTTGATGTATTTAAAATAGCAGAGGTAATTTGATCATGTTTTTCAGGTGAATTTGTTGAGTTTTTACTATTCATGTTATTCATATCTTGTATTTTGCGACTTGAAATTGCGTAGTGAGATCGATGTCTGAATTTTCTTCTTCGATATTTGCATATTTCCGCCGGTATGCAAATCTCTTGAATCTGATTGGTTAACCGCCGGTTGCATGCAAACACGCCCTCTAGTGAGCGTTTACTCTCACTGTGAGTATTTGCATATTCAATTGTTCTTGTATTCCCATTGGATGCGACGATTTTCGTTATATCAGGACATGACTGATCGCCATCTACCGCCGGTATTGGTTTTATATGTTTCACTTTTTGACCCCTAGGCTTCATTTGAGCCTTAGGATTTAGAGCTTCATTTATCATTTTAATTTTCGCTACTATAAAACTTTCATCGTAACGACTGGTCTCGGGTGCCGCTGCAGATGGAAACCGGGACAAATAATCTGCCATTCCCATTTTAGACCCCTGTCTGTGTTCAACTTTAAAATCGTACGGCACTAACCGATCGTACCAACGTGTTAGTCGGCTGAAAAACGTTTTATTTCCTTTCGGAGATGAATTTAATAACGTTAGCAGGGCCTTGTGGTCCGAAATAACTGTGAACAAACGGCCATATATGTAATTTCGAAAATGTTCCGTAGCCCACACTACCGCAAGTAATTCTAATTCGTTCGTGGAGTATTTTTTCTCAGCCGGATTAAGGTAACGCGATGCAAACGAAATGGGATGCCACCCGGATGCCCCATACTGTTCTAACACGGCCCCCAAACCATCGTGACTAGCGTCACAAATAATTCTTGTCTCCCGGTGAATGTCGAAGTGTCGTAATTCGACAATATTTTTCACCAGCGATTTTAAATGTTGGAATGCATTTTCGCAAACGTTGGTCCAAACAAAATCGTTATTTTGACTTAATAGTGGCCTCAACGGTGCGCTTAATTCTGCGAGTTTGGGTAAAAACTTGTGTAAACTGTGTAGTAAACCCATCAAAGATTTCAACTGCTTTCGAGATTTTGGGGTTTTCAGGTCTTCAATTGCTTGTGTTTTTCTTACTAAGGGTGTGATACCACTTTCTCCAATTCGAAATCCGAGCCATTCGCACTCTGCTTTCGCATTTTCACATTTTCGTAATTTTAATGCAACATTAGAAATATCCAGCTTTTTCAATATCTTTTTTACCAACGCGCTGTGTTCGATCTTAGTTCCTTTTGAAGAAATTAAGATGTCATCAATGAACGCGTTAGCTTGGGGGAACTCCTTAAGTAAATTATCAATTACTTTTTGGAATTCCTCCGGCATTGACGTAAGCCCGTAAAATCCGTTTTTAAAACGATAAGTTCCTGTGGATTTCCCACCAACTAGTGAGAAATTGCACTGTTCGCTCGCTTTTTTGTTCTA